AGGGAAAGATTAAGTAAATGCAAAGTCCCAGTCATTTTTGGCTTTAATGTTGCCCTTAAAACTAAGTTTTGGCTGGAAGATGTTTCTCCTGGTTTTCCTAAGCTTCCTAAAATCTACAACCTCAACCTTAGGACTTGTTAACAGATCTGTAACAGATTGAACTGTGAGCAAGTTGCATAATATTATAAGGTTACATAAGGATTTCCTGTCAGTTTCATTCATAAGCCATGGTCCAAAGCAGCAAACATTACTTTGTAAAAATGACAGAAGTTAGAGTTGCACAAAATGACTCTAGTCTGGATAAAGGTACTGTGAGTATCACAGTAAACAAAGCTGCTGGACATATGACAGAGCATTTAAAAATTCTTGATATTTTTCTGAAAGTACCATAGACCCCGGATACATCTGCAATAACAGTAAATTCCATTAAACCGAATTTAAATAAATGTATTTCACCATTTCTCTGAGGCTGTACTGTATTTGTGTTTAATCACTTGTTTTTCAAATGGCTTTTCTTAGTACATGCTCTTGTTACTGTTGCCTTACACTACATTAATATTAACATCTGGGAACTGTCAACAGTCACCTCTTATTTCTTGAGAAACACACCCTTTAGAGGTAGTTAGGGGTCCAATGCCTTGGACAGCTGTGTCTTCAGTAAGTGAAACAACAGCTTCCTTGGTTTTAAAAACAATTCATCTTTCTTCTGTTTCCACATGAGCTGGCTCAATCTTTCTCTTTAACAGCAACATACACCCATGGCCATGGAAACAGCTGGCAGTATCAGGCTTGCATGTAAATACACGTCCGATTAATACATGGGTGCACTGGACTAGCTTACAACCTACAGAGTTTACACGTGCTTTTGATGTTTGATTTTGGATGACTGGGCACAACAGTGACATGACTGAGATATCAATCTATTACTCTGATTCTCAGCAAGAAAGCAAGTAAGTGAATTTTCAAAAAAGTCAAATTATAGTTAAGAAATGTCATATTTTAGTTAAAAAAAAAACAAAGAAAAAGTCTCTATACTACACTACACAGTATGTTGTGCTTTAGCCCGTGCGCTGGAGCTTAGAGCAATACTTTTTCTATTTTAAAACTTGTGCCATTGCAGATTAACTGTAGTGACCTTATGCTAACCAAGAAGTAATTTTTTTAAAATCAGATTCTTTCCTTCTTGCAGCCATTTGATATTTTGTGGCTAGTCTTTTGCATTTAACAGGCAGGAGGCACATTGCTGTTAAAAGGCAGGAAAGTTCCTGATTTGACTGATACCAGGTTTTGAGACATCCACTAATCCTACCATTGTGCCAGGACCTCTGTCCATAAAATTACAGCACACCTGTGTGATATTTGGTCATGAACCCACAGCTTTCGTTGATGTGCTACATATGACTACTACAGCATTAATAAACCATTTTTATGACTCCGCCATGAACAAATTCATGTACAAAACCATACAAAAACATTCTGTTATGACATTTTACTGTGAATAACAACAGTGTACATGAATAATGTTCTTAATTGTCTGTTTGAACACAGATTGGAGCAGTACTTCAATAGACGTGACATAGATTAACACCCACACAGGAGTTCATGTAAACCAAACCCTAGGGCCAGTCAAAACAAACCAGCAATCAGTCCTGAACAGTGAAAAGCTGTTTGTTCATACAACCTCTCTGTACTCAAGGTCCAGCTTAGCTGCGTCAGTAACTTTAGGCCCAGTAGTAATGGCTTAATCTAGATTTTTTACCAGATCAATACCAATTTGACTAGAAGCATTTGATTTAAAAGCTTACAGTGTTTATAAGGTCTTTTTTGATGAATAACTAACTCGGCCTACACCCACCCATGATATATTAAAACCACATACAGTAAATAATGCTAAATTATTATTTGCTCAATACTAGTTAGATAGAAACGTTATTGCAGACTCAAGGTCCAAACTCCGAACAACAAAAAACAACAAACAATAAAAAACAATAATAAAAACTATTTTAAAAAACCCACCACAAAACAACAACTAGTCCACTACTATCCCTTTAAGTATACCAGTGTCTCCAGAGTACTGATGTATATCGCATGTCCCTATATGCAGCGTTAGTCAACAATAAAAACAATGTGGTTTTCAGAGCTATTCAAGCGACAGACAAAGTTATATATCAGGTAGTGTGTATATGAACATTCAAAATATTTAAACTTCCACAAAATGTACAGTCCTCGTGAAAAACATCCTTTACTTCAACCACTGCAACAACGCTGAGTGATGAAAATACGATTGTTGGTGTACCTGCTGCGTCCACATGATTTTTTTTTGCCAATAACTCAGCAGAAGACAAATGATGCACATTGGGTGCAACAAACAAAATGTTGATCCTTCTGTCTAATGATGGTAATTAATGGGATGCACAGACAGCGAGGTCACATATTTCTAATTTCTGCGACAACACATGCACTTGGCTCTCTCATCTAGACTATGCTTCTAGTAAAACACCAGCACTATGTGGGTTTCTAAGCATTGTGCAATGATGAGAATATAATGTATTGCAGAGTAATGCCAGAGACTGGAAAAATGCCTCAGGGGCCTACTGGAGAAATAAAGGTATTTGATTCTCTTTGTAGACACATTTTAATAATGTAAGCAGCTCTGGTTCTTCAGATATACACACACTGCAGTGCTTATTTTGTAATTAACCTCACACAGAAGCCCTCACACTCTGAGAAATGCAGGAATGTGTTGACCAAGAAGCTGGGGAATATATTAAAAGATTACTTAAGTGTGTCCATTATGTTGTCTTAGGTTGATTTCATTTATGCAGAACTCTCAGCACGTCTGAAAAAATCATTACTGTGCAGTTTTCTTTTTCAGGGCAGTGCAGTTAGTGTAATGGCCATTATTACATCTGTCTATGTGGATTAGTTGAAGAGGCTGAAGAGCAGCCTGGGATATGGTGATGGTCTCTCCCTAGAATAACAGAGCAGTGATACAGTGCAAATCACAGCAGAATTGTAACACAAAACTCTACTGAGACACTCCTCACCCCCTGGCTCAGCTCCTATAGCCAAAACTACGCTGAGCAGTGCTACACTTCCCACTTCCTAACCAAGCCTTACCCCCACTGCAGCCCAACTCCCCTTACAACGCCTCCGTCAGCTAAGACTGAAGCTGTGCTGAGCCAGGCCCTTGGCTGCAGCTGGGATACAATTACATGCTATTACATTTTTTATTGGGGGAGGGATTTCAAAACAAAAAAGAATAACTGCCTCATTAAGGATTTAGTGGAAAAGGTCAGGCCAATTGACCCCTAACACACAGCCACCTCATCGCAAAGGGGTGGTTTGTTTTTCCTTCCACACATTTCAGGGTGTTTGATTCCCACTGAGAGCCAACCAAGATAGAAAAAAAAAACAGAGGTAGAGAGACGGACTCACAGACTGGTAGAGGCAGGAACAAGAAATGAAGGACGGAGCAAACAAAAGAGAAGCATGAGATAAAACAAATGGCTTATGAAGGGTGATGAGTGAGTGATGATTTACCATATGGTGCAACCGCTTAAATGCATACTGTATCCATCATCAGTACTGCAGCAGGCATAGTCGTGAGTTCTTTATAAGCAAAATGCAAAATGCAGAGGCATACTATAAACAAAACCTGCTTAAAATCTATTCCTCAAGTTTTTGTCTGAGAAATGACACCAGCTCAGAGGCACAGGTTAGTGTGGGCAGAGGGGGAAAAGAGGACAAGGGCAGGGGCTGAGAGATAAAACATGGCGCAGTGACAGGACCAGGTACAGAGGTGTGGCAGTTGTGTGTCATAAAAAGTAGGAGCTTGAAAATGGCTAATGCCTCTGTATCCAATTATTTCCCTTACAAAGGTCAGTCAAAAAACATAAGAAGTTAAGTGTTTTCATCCTATTCAGCCTTAAGTTTAGTCTAACCACAGGAAAAGTTTGTTTAATTATAAAAAACTCTACCAGACTGTTGTGATGGGACCAAGTAGAAAAAGGGCAGTGACCTCTTTCGACTCACAAACCCGCAGTTTCAGAAACACTGATCTCAAGTTTTTGAAGTGCTCAAAGTGATTTTGAGAAATCTTTAACATGACCGCAATGTCGTGGCTTGTCTACCCCACAGATCACTCATCCAGACTTACTGTAATTTAGAATAACAGTCACAAGATTCGGGCCTACAAACACTCTTTTCTCCGATAATCTCCCTGGGTAATGCTCCAAAACCAATGTGTTTTCTAGTTGAATACAAATATTTAAATAACTCTTTCCATACATAACTTCGCTGTCAACTTCTAAGCTAAAATATCCACTGCAAGCTTGGGACAGGGGAAAAACAAAGATGCAGTTTGGAAAATGAGCCTGCTGATGTGCACAGTGGGGATCAATCAAGCACTCTGGTCACTGGCTAAAAAGCAGAGTGTGTGATTTAAGCACGCTACACATTGCTGGGCCATAGCACAACCGGCTTCTCTGACCATCAACCTGGTCCAAGAGAGCAGAGCCAAGGGAAAATAGCCGTGAGATGGAGGAAGATGCCAACATAAGCCTTGACTTCTTACGCGTGTTGTCAGTCTCTGGACTAGTGCAGGATTCCACTGATGAATGCTTACCACCAATCCAAATAAGAAAAGACTGAACTGACCGCTGAGTTTAAATGGCAGCTTAGGGAATGCATCAATCAAAAAAACATGCACTTCCCTCCTACCCTATGTAACAGACTGATTTGAGCCTGGCACAATATTTCAGAAGGGTAACATGCTATTTGAAATTTTCTTCGCTCTTAGGGGATGATATTGTCAGGCTGATTTTGAGAACAGATATACCACTGGATGTGTCTTAGCATCTCTAGGAAATTATACAGTGTATAATTTGATTTCAAGCTCAATCCTGTGCTGCAGTTATGAGTGCTATTGATGAAAAATACTCTAATTTTCCCACTGTCATTTGTAAAGAATACCCTCCTGACAGGAGAACATGCAGGACAAAACACACACATACTGTATATGGCCATACTAAAGACAAGGGCAGTTTGTTCTTCTTGTACTCCAGAGTCCTGCCCTGTAGCAGCTCAATACATCAACTCCTGAACACACACACACACACACACACACACACAACACACATTCTGCCCTCAAAAATGTGAAAGGTAATTTCAAGGATGTGGCTGCGTAGTCTGCCCTCTGCAAGCCGTGTCCCATGTGCCAAGTCCTTCTAGTTTCAATTCCCTGGCCTTTAATGGCTTGTGCAATGCCTTACAGCCGAATCATAGACCTGCGTCCTTTAGACTAACAGAGTTCAACAAGGACTCTGGGAACTGACACCTCTGGACATGCCGGTTAACAATGGGTAAAATGAGTTGGTGAACAGGTCCTATTAGCGGTAGGAATTTTGCTGTTTGTGTCATTTATAAGGTGTGTTTAGGCAAGGGACAAAAATTGAGGAGCTAGTCCCTGTGTGCGTGTTTCTGTCAGCTGTTAATCATTCTTGTTATTACTAGTGTGTCTCTTTGCCTGTGAATGGTGCTAACCTGTGATCCTCGGGAGCCTCTCTTGTGGTCCCAGTCTGAGCGGGGCAGCATCTGTGGGAAAACAGAGACAGAAACAGTCTTTTACTTCCTGTATGTGTTAGCGGCCTACAACAGAGATACACTGTGCCGTAGCTGAAAGAAGAGCGTTGGTGCAAAGAGCTGAGGAAGTGCGAAGGGATAGTAACACTCAGAAATGCAAAAAATGGGTTCTGTGTCTTTTTTTAAACTTTCCATTAAGCACATATGTCTAGTGCAATTTCATGGTCAGGTTTAGTTTACTTTAGCTCCTTTTCACCGCCTAAGGAGCTGGTGGAGGCTGAGGATTTTTACACTGTCTAATTACTAGGTATGTCCTCCCACAGGCCTCATAAACCTGTTTTCCACTTTCCTGGGGGTCACCCAATGCATCAGAGCAGCTCTGTCACTGATTTTTGGTGAACATGTTGCAGGGAAAGCCAAGTCAACACTAACCCCTCCCCACCATTCTTGCTTTCCGTCCCAGAACTGAGAAGCCCTGAGAAACCCAGCATGTCGCTGTGATAAATTGCTGCTGCGCACACTGAGGCAAGAGGCTCAGTGTAAGAGCCAAATTGATAATCCAGGTGTAATTTACTGTGTTAGTGCAGGTCACTGAATTGTGTCATGCTGTGAGAGAAAACATCAAGAAGGAACAGTGGGTGTCATTCGCCAGTGCTATGGGCCTGTCTGGACTCTCTCTCCGTCTGCTGGTGTAAATCACTTCTCACTTTCTCACCTCCGACTTGTACAGAATGCTGCTGCTCATTTCTAACTAACACGGCTAAATGTGAGCATATAAGCCCTGTTCTTTTATCTCCTCATTAGCTTCCAGTTCATTGTAGAATTGATTTTAAACTTTTCATGTTTGTTTTTAAAGCTTTAAATGGCCTTGGCCCTTTTTATTTAACAGACCGTTTATTCTTCTGTAAGAATAGCAGTGTTCAGTTCATCCAGCCGGCTTCTTTCAGAAGTCCTCGGATCTGGGTGTAAACACTGGGGTGGCCATGCTTTTACTGTGGCTGCTCTGAAACTGTTTACCACTTGATACTTGCTTTATAACTGACCTGGCACTTCACTGCCCTGACAACAGGGTTTTGCTCTTACAGTTCAGGAGCAGGCAGCGGGCTCGGTTGCGGCGGAGCCCTGCTCCATTAGAAGGTCCTAGGATCAGTGAGGCGCTACAGGAGCACACTCATAAACAGCCTTTCAGTCTTATGGTCTTATGTAACCCGACCTTTCATCTCTCTGCTCTGAGAGACAGACTACATGCACCTTTTGATGTGCCAAAACAAAAAACCCACACAGAATCAAAGTTGAACAGAAAATGTGAGCAGCGCACATCATCTCTTGCACAGAGCGACTTTACAGGCCACGGTGGAGTTAAATTCCTCTGAGACTGGTGCCAAAAACAAGATCAACAAAACAAATACATGTGGATGATGTACCACTTACTTACTAAACCAAACAGTGGATGCAGTCTGGTGCCACTGTGTTCAAATGTTTTTTGAACCAATGTTGGAAAATCAGTAAACAACGTTTCAAAGTTTCATTGCTTTCAAACTTCAAACCACGAGTGTCAGAATACACGAGAAATTACTGTAACATCATGTGAGACAAAAAGCAAAGTCAGTTACGAGAATCAAAAAATAGCAGAACTAGACAATAACAGATGCCACAGTACGGATTTATCACTGCATATGATGACAGAAGACGCTACCCTTTTATAGCAATAACGATACAAAACAATAAAAACAAAATGTCTTGTTCAAGCTCTATTACTTTGTTTTGCTTCAGGAGATGGAGAACACTGTTATAAGATTATACTTAAAACATACAACAGCTCGCTGCCAGTACTATGCCTGAAGAGGCAAAACCACACATGAAGGATTTTTTAGATACTTCCTGGTTTTTCATGGACACCCTCCAGGGAGCATAACAGAGCAGAAGCAGTAAAATTTCTAAATGGATTTGTTTTTGTCCTAAAGCTCCAGTACACCTACTGGGAAAAATAACAACTGTGTCAAAGTAATGCCCTTTGTTTCACCCTCTGCTAGATTCATCATGCTGCCCTATAACTCAGAATAGGCCCAGTCTAGTCACTTATTGCAATGCCCGTGATTTATAAGCGACTAAAACCAGTCATTGTGAGAAAATATGCTTTGTGTCTTTGAAAATGGATGTCTGTCATGGCACTACAGCTACCAGAGTAACATGACACACTCAGTGAGGTTTGAGACATTTTTATGGCCCTGGCTCCATTGTCAGTGCATTCTGGAGATTTACTGCACCCTCATGATGCTTTCAAGAAACAAACAGGAGAAAGTAGTGGTAGTTAGACAAACAAATAGATGGACAATGTAGCTCAGCCACATGTTAGTGGAAGGTACATCCAAGTAAGGGACCTTTCCACAAAAGAAACTGGGAGTAAGTACCTGTAAAAACACCCAGAGCTCAAGTACCCCTTCAGCTACACCACCCTTCATTAAACTGGATGTTATTTAACACTAATCTTCTTTTTTTTCATATAACACATGATGATTCTGGCATTGTCAGTGTTTAGAACTAGTCTAAGCTAGAGCATGGGTCGGGCTGCAAATTTCTGTCCCAACCTAACTTGTTTGTGAGAGTGTGTCATTCGAATCCAACCCAAACATAACAAGCTTATAGTACATAATGTCCGAGCCTGATCCGAGTCCAACGCAATTGAGTTTGTACAGTGTTTTCTCCCTTATCATTAAATGAAGCAGACATTTGAGCGCTCCAGCCATCTATCTTAAGTTTGACCTATGTGTCCGAACCAGACCTGGACCCAAACATAATCTGCAAAATTCTGTCTAAACCCGACCTAAACAGGTCCCACCAGGCTCGGTCCAGGTATCCACACTCTAGTCTAAACACAAGCTGCACGTTTTTTTTTCATTGCTATTTCTATTTGCTAACTAGTTTTTATGCACTCTCAGTCACAGCATGTGGTGTTGAGGGGGTAGTTTACAGTACTTATTATGACAATGAATATACTGAAGATGTACCTGGCACTAATTATTAATCCTTTGTGTAGTAATTTCCCACTGCACACAAACAATATATGCGGAGTAGAAGCTCTTTTTGCTCTGATGCTTTAGTTTCAATTGCCCAAGTTTTGAAATGTTTCATTTCTACTTCCACCTCAAATGAACACAAATGGAATGACATGTGTGGTGCTTGTTACACTAAAGAATTGAAATTAAAAACTCCACCAGCAATGTGTTTTTCCAGGAACAATGTCCTGGTTACTGTGGATACTCTGCAGACCTCACTGTCAACAGTTTTCTTTGGAACTGTCTTTTTTTTAGCAGCCTGTAGTGAGGTCTGGAATATCAAGAGTGACTGAGACATTGTTCTTGGAAAGAGATGTTGCCTTTCAACGCTGTGGGCACCAAAAACAAAATTCCATTTACCATCATTGTACTGGGGTGGAGGCACAATCCAGAATGCTTTTCATGGCTAGATACCACTAGAACTAAGTGAAACCCCCAAGGAGACTCCAGTCTGAGCAGTTATACTACATAGCCTTATGTTGGCCACTTGGCCAAATTAAGTGACTGTTACAATCAAATGGTTTATTTTTATTTTGCTTTTTTTAAAAACAAAATTCTTATTTTATGTTACTTTGGTCAGTGTTTCACTGCTAAGGTGCGGCAGGTGCATATGTTTGTTACTGGAAATAAAAAATAAAAACAAAATCCAAAACATTGGCAATAAATCTTTACTGTATACGACGCCCAGGATGAATATGCGCACAGATTTATATTTCTTTGCCTTGGTATAAGTACGGAGTCAATGTCCATAGACCCCTGTGTCCAGCTTGATGACAGTTTGTTTAGAAACATTTAGTACATTGATAAAGCTAAATAATGGACAGGATACTAATAAGGAGATATGAAAATGTTAAAAATACAGAAAGCAGCAAGCCAAAATATGTGCACTGCCTTCTGTAAAATAACTGCAGTCCCATGACTCAGAATAGTGCCAGCCAAGTCTTCCTCTCCCCCAGAGTGCTAAGAGGGCAGCAGTGTGGATGCCAGTATGCAGCCGTGCCCTGTCCACCACCATGGCTCTGAGCCACAGCCCACAGCAAACTGTCATCCCTCTGAGGTGCTGGATAAGCATCATGGTGCCTAAGCACAAACAAACTACTGGAATATGCTTGCTGTTTGACTCGCTCGTGCCAATAACCAGTTGAGAACCACTTCCCTGTGGGTGTGAAATGGTAGGAGCTACAACAGCTGCGCCCATAGAGACGTTTCTTTTTCACACCAATCAACCTGAAGCCTTGCAATGAGCCTGACCCACTGTCACCAACTTACTACAGAGTACTTTTCTAAGTCTGTCTATAAAGGGAACTGGAAGCTGCCTCGTCCTAATTTAGCTCAGTGCAAGATAACTGCTAGCAGTGTTTCTTAATCATTCATTCATAATCGATCAAGCCTTCATTCTTTTTCTTCCTCTGCCTGCCATGTCCTAGTTTGTCCCTCATTACTGGCTTCATATGAGTGTAGGTGATGTGTGTCTAATTTGATCTTCAGTAGCTATGTTAGCTTGTTAGTGCAATGAACTTAGTGGGACCCAGATTCAGTGTCTATTGAGGACACAATTATAAGAAGAGTTGACTAAAGATCTCCCTGCTGGAGAGGAGGAAAGGAGGAAAGAGAGAGTGCTGATCTTTCAGTACTGTTGGAATAATTAAGGTGGTGTTGAAAAGTCAGAAGACCAGTCTGCAGGATTTCCAATCAGCTTGACCTAAGGGTTTTATGCACCATCTCTGTGTCCAATTAAACCCACTATGCTCTCATTTACAGTAAGGTCTGCAGTCATGAATTCACATACTGTATATGCCTACTTACCTAAGTGCACATTCACATGCAGTCAGACTCACTCACTGCCACAGGGTCTCTGAATATTTTCTTACTTATTCCTCCTTTGTTCTTTTATCACTGCTCTGTGTCAAAGACATTCTGATGTGTGCAGTGCTTGACTCAGACATCCCTGCAGTC